TGCCAGGATCAGAGCGCTGGGGCTTTCTACTGGCTCCATGCACTGAACTGGGTCCTGCACTGACCTGCATGCCCAATCTATCATGCAGGGCCAAGGCCCATGGGCTGGATGATGAGGCATTAGGGGTTGGATCTGGCCCATGGGCTGGAAGTTGAGCACCCCTATGATAGGAGGTCTTAAGTGACACCAAGTCTATCCTGGTTGTGGCATTGTTAAATATCCTGTTTAATAACTTATCATTTATAATGAAGTATACACTTACTTATTAAATTAGCGGATACACCAAGCTGGTTTGGTTTTACATGCTTTAGAGGGCAAGGTTAGGATTCAAACAACCATGATAAAATAATTATATGAAATTCAATAATGCACAGTACTATCTCTGTGAAGGAACAACCAAATGCAAAAAGGAGCATGACCATTTAGGTTGCGGTACTGTACAAAAGGAGCTAGGGATTGGAATGGATCACAAACAGAACAAAAAGAGTAAAATATTTGATACCTTCATTTAAAAAACAAAACTTATTTGGGATATTTTAAAAGGAATGTTATCTATGGAAGGTAATTTTTTCCTACCCTCTACAGCAGCGGTCACCCCTCACTTGGAGTACTACATCCAGGCCTATGCAGGGGTAGGGAATGGAGGTGTAGTTACACAAGACTCCCAAGTACAGTCCCTAGCCCCAAATCATTGCTCTCTTTTTCCTGTTTCTAAAATGGAAGGTATCTGCCCAGAACATATCAGATTCCAAATTTCTCTCACAGGCCCTGACTGTCTAATTTAATGTACTGTACTTTAAGAAAAATATAGACAATTTGGAAAGGATACAGAGGAGAGCAACAGTGATTACAGATCTTGAGAACATAAGGAAAGATTGGAAGAATTGGGATTATTCAATCTAGATAAGATTGGGAAAGATTTGATAACACTCTTTCAATAAAAAAGGCTTGCCATGTGTAAGGATTGTGATCAGTAATTTTTTGAATCCACAGAATACAGGCCAAGGAAGTAATTGTTTTAAAATGAAACAATCAAGGCAGGTTTAAGTTAAATATTATGAAGAACTTCTTAAATAAGAGGATGACTAAAGAATGGAACAGATTATCTAGAGAGCAGTGGAATCTCTGTCACTAATTGGAAATTAGACAAACAGCTACCTGGAATTATTCTGTTTTAATCAGGGATTGGAATAGATCACCCTTAAAGACTAATCCAGATCCAGATACTTCTGGACCCAATTCAGATATCTGTGGACAGTCCTGTTTTTCTGTGATTTCTGACATGCAAGGCTGCAGTAATAAAAAATGGAATGAAATTTAGTTGCACAAAACACAAAATCATGCACATAAGGGCTAATAAGAATTTCTGCTCTAAGCTGGGAGTTCATCAGTTGGAAATGATTAAAGGGGAGGAAGACCTGGGTGAAAGACCAAGATGACAATGAAACACAATGCAGCCCTGAAAGAGGAAACCGTGTGTCTAGTCTGTGAGTAAAAAAGGTATTTCTAGTAATGATAGTGAAGTATCAATACCATTGTACAAAGCATTGGTGAGATGCCATGTGGAATTCTATGTGGTTGTGGTACCCCATGTTCTCCCAAGAAAGTCCCAAGAAAGATTAATTTAAACTGTATCAGGTGCAGAAAATGAGTCCTAGAATGATCAGGAGAATGTAAAAGATATCCTCTGAGAAGACAATAGGTTTTCATTTGTTTTAGTCCATCACAGGGGTAGGCAACCATGGGTGCCAGAGCATGGCATATGAAGGCATTTTGCTTGGCATACTTGCCTTGGGGCAGACAGTGGGGACGGGGTTGGGGCTGCACTGCCACAATAAGGATTGAACCCCTCACAGTGCCCTTGCCATTCATCTCTGGCATGCCAACATCTTACAAGTCAAGGTTGCAGGTGTTTTTGGTGCATTGCCCAAAAATGTTGCAAACCCCTGGTTTACCAAAATTGCAAGCTGGGGCTTGATTTGTCCTTAGAAGTATGCCAGTGGGTAAACACCAATGAAAGAGAAGAGCTGTTCTAGTTAAAATGCAATTTTGGCACAAGAACAAAGGGTACTGATTGATCCCAAATATATTTAGAAGGCTTCTAACTGTCAAAGGAGAGATGCTCTGGAACAGCCTTCCAATAGGAGTAATGGGAGCAAACAAACTATAACAAATTTTAAAGTGGACCTTAATAAATTTATTACCAGGATTATAGGATGTAGTTGCCTGTGACTTAGCCACTTCCAGTCTTCTGTACCTATATCTTAAGAAAATATCTAATCTTGCCTCTAAACTGTGTGGAGTTGTCTAACTCTCTAGTAAGCTATTCCAGTATTGAATTACCCTCCCTCACAGAGAATGCATCAAACTTCAACTTCCAGTTATTAGACTTCTTATGTACTTTCAAGGCAAAAAGCTCCCAAGTATTAGAGTATTTTTTCTCCATGTGTAAGTACTCACACAGAGTTATCCAGTCTCCTTCCAAACACGTCCTTGATAACCTGAATAAGTCGTATACCTTGAGCGTCACATTATATTGCTTACTTTCTAGCTTCTGGATCATTTTTGTGGCCCTCCTTTGGTATTTCTGCATCTGTCTTGAAATGGGGACACCAGAACCAGACCCTGTACTATGGTCATGTACAGAGGTATGATTACCTCTGTATTTCAAGCTTCTAAATATACAGGATTTTCTAAATATACAGATATATTCCTCTTTCTAAATATGCAGGATTCATATTAGTTTGTTTTGGGGACAGCATTACGCTGAGAACTCATAATAAGATTAATGACCCCTATGTTCTTTCCAAGACAACATCTCCCATCCTTCTCAACATAGATCCTTGGTTCTTATGTATAATAGCTTTGTGTATGCCTGCATTAAATTACATTTTATTAGATTGAGTCCATTAACCAAGTAAGTCAGGTCACTATATATCAGTAACCTGTCCTCATATTTCACTACCCCACAACATTTTGTGTCATCTCATAATTTTAAGGTGAGTATTTTGAAACTTTCCAGCCATCATGGGACAAACTTGCCTAGCTTCAATGGAGTTAGAACATGTGTTAATTTGGTCCTATTTATTTTATGTAATCCTGAAGGTACTTCTGCCAGCTATAATATTCTCTGGGAGTTACATTGCAACATCAGAATGCTGGCTGGCTAGCAGCCTCACTCCATTCTGTGCATGATCTATGAATAAATAGAGAAATTTAGTTCCCAGAGTGTCAGTCTGGCGCATTTCACAAGCACTACATTCACTTCTGAAAAATCAGCCAATGACATAGGGAAAGTGCTATAGTGACTGGGTGATAAATGTTTTGTTGCTAACTCTTGTTAATACTAAATGTAAACCCTAGAGCTAGATCATATCGTTCACAGCTCAGGGGGGAAATATGCTTCCTTTTAGGATGACTAATATTTCTGTCCTCTGCCACTTTTTTTCTTTCTCTTATTTTTGTCTCTCTTTTGTACTTGAACAGAGGTAGTTAGCTGTGTCTGTCTGAGGTCAGGCAGAAGGTAGGGCAGGGGGGCACCTTAGAAATTAACTGGGTCAGGGAGGCATGAGATTTCATACGTATCAATGTACTTCCAACAACCTGGAAGTAGGTCATTGCCTGTGAAAGCTTGTGTCCCTCTGAACCAGTTAGTCTCTAGTGCCCTCCTACCCTAACTTCTGCCTTTCCTCTCTTTGTGTCCACTTTTCTTGTATCTACATTTTTTTCCTAGCAGAAATGCCTGCTAGGAAACTCTGACCCTAACTTCCTCTCTCTTCCCTTTCAACCCTATTTAAAAATTAGCAATGGAATGACATTTAAAGTGTTGTTAATATGCTGGTGACATAATATACCAATACAGTTAAAGACATGGGAACAGGATAGAGTTTATACCACCAAAGTAAGGATTTAGGTTGGCTGAACACAGAAATAAACAACATGCGATTCACATTTGGAAGGCTTCGTTAGCAATCGTGGACTTGCTATTATCTTTAAAAACAGTGAGTTTCTGAAAAAAACTGGCTCTGTTAGTCAGAAAATTATAGACAGAATAGGCATTTACCAACTACTTTTAATTCGCTTTCTAACCCTGGGTTTGCGCAGTACTCATGGATGAAAAGATCGGGTGGTTGACCTAAGAGAACAGCTGATAATCTCTTTTTTTGTGTAGCATGTGGCAGCAGATCCAGAGTTTAGGTTTTCATAGATTATAACTCTGGATCATTTAGTCGGACCTCCTGCATTAACATGGTCCATAGGACTTCTTTGAATTAATTACTGTTTGAACTAGAGCACATCTATTGGGGAAAAGCATCTAATCTTGGTTTTAAATTTCCTGGAGAATCAACCACAAGCATTGGATTCCAGTAATTTCTTACTCTCACTGATAGAATGGTACAGTTCTGAGTTGATTCTAACTTCAACCACACCATTTGGTCACCTAGACCAAAGATCTCTCTATTATCAAATTTCTATTTCCTGTGAAGGTGCTGCAATGATCATGCTTTAACTTTCTATTTGATGAGCTAAACAGATTGATTCAAGGAGGCCATTCACATAGACATTTTTCCATTCTGGCAGCTCTTCTCTGAACCTTTCTCTCTTTTTTTCAGTGCCTTGCAGCTCCTATCTTAAATCTTTTCCATCTGAAATGTCTGGTTTCCATATAAACCTTTGGATAAGGGTGTTATATACACTTGAGTCCCTTATGACGGATACAGCATGATTATCACAAATGCCAAAAGCCTGAATTTTAACAAGCTGCCACTCATTCTACAAAGTTGCCAAGATTTATGAAGCTTAGGGAAAGACACCGTCACTTTTCTGAAGTGATAAAAATGGATTAAGTTCTATTTGCAAGATATGCAGAGCTTGTTTGAAGTTCAGAGTGATTTACACATAACCCTCTACAAGGGACAGCCCCTACTTCTTCTATTAAAAAAAAAATGAAGCAACCCCCCCCCCCCAAAGAAAACCAAAACAACACAATGATGGACAAGGTTAAATTTTGCTTTTTAATCACAGACTGAAACATCATGGTTACAAAACTGATGGTTAGATTTAAAACCACCACACACACATCTCTGTGGGAATAGTTCCCCCCAACACCATCACACTCCCTAGAAGACTAGGGTTTCAAATGAAGAGCAGACTTGTTCACGTTTGCCTTTGGGACTGAACAGTGAATTCCAGGATGATGGCTGATGCTGCAAAGCATTCACCAAAGGATGCTTGTTGGACACACTACATTCTCCCAGCTCCAAGTGGGCACTTTTAGAGACATCTGGATATATCAGAAATCCCAACCATCTTGCAGCTTTCTGTCCAGAGCTTCCTCTGCAGCTCTTCATCATATGATACATCAACAGATTTTGTCCTTTGTTCATTATAAAGATAGGTGCCACCAACCCCTTCTAGCTCTGGTGAAACCGCTGCATAGATGGAAGTTGAAGCTCCTTCCTCCGCAGTCTGTAGAAGGTAGGAAAAAGAAGTAGGATACATATAAATATAGAGCATGTGATTTACCACAACACTACTATCATCAATTAGCTTCTTTTGTCCTGCATCCATCTTTATTTTTAAGCAAACCTTGATGAAGAAGGAAAGATTCCTTATTTCTAATCAGTGGAATAGTTGTTGGGGGGTTTTTTGTTTGTTTGTGGAGGGGACTGCTTTTTACAAATGATCTTGCTTGAGACAGCCTCAAGCCACAACACCCGTGTGGAAAGCTTTGAGAGATTCAGATCTGAATCTATCCTTTCCAGAACCTGAGCAAATTAATAAAACAAGAAGCAGTTACTATCTCAGGGTTAGGATCAACATACTTCCAAAACCAAATGAAAACATTAAACTCCCAAGTGTAATTATTCCTTTTACATGGATGTAATGCCTTTTAATCTGCCTTAAGCAGATGAAGGTATAGGCTGTGTGTATAGCACACCCTATTTAACTATGAGACATGAGCAAAAGTCCATGACATCAAATGACGATTTAGATGTTTAATTCAACTGGGCAAGGTAAATCAGAAAAATACATTTTGCATAAGGCATAATTATCAGAGCTCTGTGCTGTCAAAAAATAAAATGGATACATTTATTAATGTGTAACATAAAATTAATTTTTAAATCAAATTAATAGCTTAGAGGCATAGCTGTTTTTTATCCTGAGGGTACATGAAACACTTTTCACTCTCCATTTAGAGGGATCATTCAGCTACCACTGAAATGATATCAGTGTCTTTTTTTTTTAATTTGTACTTGACATGTAGATTTACAATACAATTTTGAACCTGTGGCATATATTAGTCTTAGCATCTATGAACAAATCTATGACACACATGTATGTCATTTTATTATCTTTATACTTTTCCTTCTGCAAGTAATAAACAACATAATAGCATTCAGGGCATTTTTAATTAAACAGACTGAATGCTTGGAGAACTTACCTGATGAACATAACAACATTTTTATAAAGTTATTCAGTGATCTTTTTTCAAGATAATGCATATTGCTATAGAACAGTGTTGATGATTTGCACAAATATATTCACAACTAACTAAGCAGTCTATGACTTCTTTACACAAGTAAAAATATTCTCCATGTGCCACAAATCCTGCATTATGTTACCTGCTTTCAGTGACAAAATTGTAGAGAGGTTAATAGCAACTGTTATTCTATTTGGTATATTTGGCATGAATTACATACTCCTTGAACACTTCTCCAATAAATGCATTAGAATCGTGCCAAAATATGGGGAAGAAGCTTTGAAAAAAGTCTCTGTCTTATGTTAGGAAAACTTGGGAGATTACTGCCCCTCTTCCCCCCCTCCCCTCCAGTACAGCATACAAACTTTAGAGCAGGCAGTATCAGAAAGCAAAGGTCTAACTAGTAAGAGTCATACCCTTGGCCAGCATGTCCCAAAACTAGCTGATGTTTTCACATTCCCTTACACATGCCCTCTCTGCCTCCTGCCTCAGCCTCCCCTGTTCCAGGCTGAGGCCCACTTTTCAGAGCTACCCTCTGCCACTTAGTGCCACTGATTTGTGTCCCCAGTGACAAATTATAGGGCCAAACTCGGCAGCAAGGGTAGGCAGGGAAGCAAGCAACAGAACACAGACGTGTACCTGAGGATGGCCAACACTGCAGGAAGAGTCAGTAGGATTGGCAGCTACAGGGTCGGCATAGCAGTCACACCAAGACCTTCCCCCACACAGCAGTGCTGTCTTCCACACAAGGAAAAGGGGAATGGTAGGACTCTTGGTTCTCTCTCCATTCTGGTGCCTCCTACTGCTTCACTTAGTGCACAGGGCTCATGCTTAGCTCATCCATCCCTAGTGGATAATGCCAGGGAAGGATGAGCCCACCTCCCCGGGGTGTGCAGGCAATGGATCACAGCTCTGCCCCATCTCTGGACCACACTGTCACTGCCACAAGATCCCAAGCCCTGGAGCAGCTCCCTGCCTACCTGCGCGCCCTGCCAGCACTGCTGCAGCTGGTCTCCATGGAATCCCTGGCCCCACACCATCATGGCCCCGCTGCTTCTGGGGTCCTGCATGGAAACCAGCTGCAGTGATGTGAGCAGGGGCTGCTGGGAAATGGAGTCCACTGTGGGCCCAATCTGGCCCACAGGCCAGACTTTACCCACCCCTGGTTTAAGGCAAGCTTGCAAGAATGAAAACCTGCCACCTCGCCTGAACTTAACCCTTTCAGAAGAACCTCTACCACTAATGGCTGCAGAGGTCTGCTGGCCTTGATCGTGCAATCTTTTGGTAGATTCCAGGTACAATCCTCATGATGCGAATAACTGAAGAAATTCCATGTTGAAGTTAGAATCTTTATAGTGCCAACGATTCTCTACATAGCCAAATATAAACACAGTCCTTTCAGTTTTAAGATGCTAATGCATTTTTACGAGTTGATCCAAAACACATTCAAGGCAATAGGAAACCTCCCATACATGACTTTGGATCAGCCCATTAATGCATATTACATTGCTGATTAAGTGGTTGATTTTTTTTCATTATTATTGTTATTAGTTACATTTTTATGAGTTATTCAGTGGTCATTTTTCAAGATAACACATAATGCTATAGAGCAGGGATTAAGTGCAAGGGACCTCATGGTCATTTCTATTTCAAAGTCAGTATAACAACATATTATGATGATTTGAATTTCAAAAAGAATGTCCATGCAATAAGATATTACTTGATACAGCTCATAGAAAACATTGATTTTTAAAATGTAAAGCACTAGAGAAATGGAAAAGGAAAAGAAAAGAAAAAAAAAACAACTGAGACCCAGATCCTGAAAAGACTTACGCATATCTTATAACTTTACGCAGTGTGAGCAGTTCTGTTAGCATCAAAGATCCTATTTAAACTGCATTAAGTATAAGCATGATTTTTTGCCAAACCAGGGCTCAACTCTTATCCAGGACTGACTTGTAAAGAGGTTCATGTTTCAATAAAATTTGTTCTTACCTTGGATGACTTTTCTACTACTAGTATTACTATTATTATTATTATTGTTGTTGTTTTAATTGTTTAAATTGGCAAAAATACATTTCAGAACAAGTGATGAAGGGCAATCATTAATATTAAGATGTATTTAACTGGGGAGAAGGAAAGCATCAATTCCAAAGGTACTGCCTGTATTTTAATTAATAATACATCTTTAGTAAGTCCATTACTTGTATGATAGTTCATTGGACATTGTGCTAGTGAATTCAGCAGCTCTCTGGAACCCATAAGCATAAGAGGAAAATGTGACTCAAGTCTTAGTGGTGATCATTCCTGGGCAAAAATAATGTGGAGTTTTTTGTACTCTTCCCCCCCCCCCCCCAAAAAAAAAAAAAAAGAAAAAAAAAAGAAGAGCCCACCATAAAACAAACAAGCAAGCAAGCTACCCCAAAATAAAATGGTACCCTGGAGTTCCAAACTGGCCCCACGCTTGAGCGGGGTGGAGTACACTGACCCTTATCCTACAATAAAAAAATGGTGTCAGTGTATTCTGTGGACTTGTGTGGGGTTTTGCTAACTTCACTGGGCTCTACACAGACTCAGAGGTGTGTTTGCATGTATATGATTACAGTAAAGGATTAGGATCCTGCTGAGCAGCTACTAATGTATGGGAAGAGCTCATACAAAACACAGCACTTGTCCAGATTTTGGCCTGTTTTTGGTGAGTTTTTTTTGTTTAACAGCAGGACAAGTATACTTTTTGATAGATGCCCATGACAAACAGGTTAAGGTAGTACTGTGTGCAAGTTCACACTACAGTGAATTTTTGCCACAAGGGTACAGGAAATCTTTATCAATTTATCCTTTTATATAGCAAATGTTCTTTATTATTTCCCTAACAAGGTAATTTAAGTCTCAGATTGAAAATAATTGTTTAAATTTATACACTAGGGTTAGTCTTATTTAATGACAGTACACTAGACAGAGTACATTTAGGCATGTCTGCATTAAGTTCATGATTTTTCAGGACTAGGGCCCTAAACTGTGAACTTTAGTTCAGCTGAAAATATCTCAATTTTCATTCATTTGATACTCTTAAGAATATATGTTTTAATGTGTGCTTTCATATACCTGATATTCACAGGCTATGGATGACTCATTTCAGCTTGAAAAGAACAGGATATAGGACATGAATATGACAAAGAGCAGGACATGATGTCACCCATGTCCATCTAAATGTATAGGTAAAAGCCATGATATTATGAGGTAACCCTTAAGAAATTACCTACACACAAGCTATCAGTATTAAGTTACTGATGCTACTAGTAGCATTTGCATCAATACAGGCATATGGTGGGGTAGGCTTCATTTTGGGTGGCAGTATCATTTGCAAGAATATGGTCCTATTGCTTGTAGTGTTGACAGGTAAGGAAAAGCATTGCCAGACACATTGCCAGACTCAACACACAACTCTCCAACACAGATAATCACATCCACAACCTCTGAAGGGGTCTACATTGAAGCACAGATGCTGTGACAACTAAAATTGGTATGTGATCTTATCTGCTACTGAAAGAGAGGCACAACCCTACCTTCCCACTAGAATTTAAACAGGAATTATATCTGGTAAGGACGATCCCACAGAAGTCTACAGTACAGAGCTATGAAAACCAATCAACCTGTGTGTAAACCATGCAGTGTGAGACAGTGGTTGGAGGATTGTCTGCTGGAAGAAGGTATCCACACAAACAGTTCAGCAAAAAAAACAACAAAAAACCAAAAAAAACCTCACTGAGAAGTAGTCATTACTAATCCAAGGAAGATAGGCTGTGGTAAACTAAGATGCCAATTTTTTTAAAAAAGAGGTGATATTTGAATGCAAAGCATTCATATATAAACATATATGTAACATGCCAGGAGTAACTGGTGCCTCCTGAGCCTGGGGGGACACAGTTGCGTACCAGAAACTGTGGACTGGAAGTGGCCAGAAAGCAAACTGCGGACCATTGAC